AAACCCTAAACCCCAAAACCTTCAAAGCCCTCTAAGTTTCCTCCAAGGCTTGAGGCACGTGGCCTGGGCGACTTCTTCGAGGGCCTCGAAGGTCTCTTAGGGGCTTTAGCGTTTAAGGGGGATTTTGGGGTTTAAAGGATCACGGGGCTTAGTGACCAGGGGTACTATTGGGGTACTTGTACTTGTAACTTCTTATAAACCCGACTGAGGTTCTTATAACCATTTTTCGTCCTACGATCCTCCCTTATGGCCTTATGGTCCGTTCAAGGAACCTCTGCAAAGTAGCCCCTTGATAAAAACCCCTATAGGTCCATTTAATAAGGAACCCGAAATCCTTCTTTCTAAGTCCCATGATCCTCCAAGNNACCCTAAACCCTAAACCCATCCTTAACCCTCAGCCCCCTACTTAAAGCTCACCAGCCCCACGACCCGAAATTTTCACCCAAGGCTTATTTCTCAAGAGTGTAGAGAAGTTAGGCTTTAGGGTTCGGGGTTCAGGGTTTAGGGTTTAGGGTTTAAGGATTTAGGCTTTAGGGTTCGTGGTTTAGGGTTTAGGGTTTAAGGGTTTTGAGGTTTAGGGTTCGGGGTTTGGGGTTTAGCGTTTAGGGTTTAGGTGTTAAGGGTTTTGGGTTTAGGAGTTTACGGTGTTAGGAAGTTGGAGGTCTAGGGTTGAGATCTCCCCAAGGGGTTGGGGTGCTTTTGGGTTGAAGAACTGAGAAGAGTTTTTTGTTTAGGGTTCAGGCTTTTCCGATTCCCTGCTTCTCTCTATGCAGCCGGCAAGCAAGAAACCCTAAACCCTAAACCCGAAACCCTAAACCCTAAACCCTAAACCCGGAACGCTAGGGCTTCGGGTGTAGGCTTGGGCTTCAGGGCCTTCGGGTCGCAGGCTTTGGGTTTCGGGTTTTGGGTTTAGGGTCAAGGTGAAGCTTAGAAGTTCGAGGCTTGGGGTTCTTGGGTTTAGGGTTTAGGGTTTAGGGTTTAGGGTTCTTGGATTCATGGAGGTTTCAGAGAGATCTGCAGCTTTCACAGATTCATAGGGTTTGGCGTGTAGGGCTTAGGGCCTCTTTGAATGATCCAGAGGCTTTCTGTAGGTTCTACGTGTGCCTGGAAGTAGGTCAACCTCATAATTTAGGGAACCTCTAACGCTAAGCATAGCATCATTGCTGACGTCGCTAAATCCTAAACCCTAAGCTAGGTCGGGCTGGGGCATGGGGTCTAGGCGCCCTGTTTTCGAGTCCGAAACCCGAAACCCCTTCAGCTCCTACCAAACCCCCTTTCCGATTTCGGAGCTGCAGGCTACTCGCTCTCGGAGAGCGTTGAAGAGGCCGACTTCGTGCCGATCTCAGAAATCTGAACCCCAAAACCTACTACTACGATCAGGGGTGTGTTGTAAGTAAGCTCTGAATGGAAAAAAACCCCACGTGCACTCCTGTTTGGGGCGGCTGAAGCTTTTAACGTTCAGGTGCCCCTAAACCCTAAACCCTAAACCCCTAAGGCTTAAAGCCTGCCTAAACCCCGAACTTTAAAACCCCTGAAGCCCAAAAAACCCTAAGCCTAAACCTTCATACCTGAGCCCTAAACCCTAAACCCTAAACCTTAATACCTAAACCCTAGCTCTTTGAGACATCTAAACCTCCGAGGCTTGAGCCGGAAACCCCAAACCCCTGAAACCCGATCCCCGACGTAAAGGATCATGGGGCTTAGTCGGTTTAGGGTTTAGGGTTTAGGGTATAGGGCTATTGTGAGGGTTTCTTAAAGGGCTCCGTAAAAGGTATCCTTCAGGGTTCTATAAAGGGGGTTTTCGGGTTTTAAGGGTCATGAGACTTAGTAAGTAGGGTTATTGTACTTACAAAGACCCCACAGCTCAGATCCTGGTCTCGGGCGTACAAAGCCGCTTCGCCGGGACCGCGGCCGGGTGCCCAGTGCTTGACCATAAACCCTACCTGTAATATAGGGGACTTAATAATTACCTATACCATTTTGGGGGGTTTCTTATGATAACAAGAGTATAATATACACTAAAACCCTATTCTAACTATTAGGGCCCCTACATGAACCGAAAAGACCTACCTTCTTTCGGGTTCCTTATTCTGGTTTCTATATATAGTTCCTTAAAGAGGTAGGTCTTTTCGGTTACAGGTAATTACACCCTAAACCCTTAAACCCTTAAACCCTTAAGCCCTAAACCCAAACCCTAAACCCAACCCTAAACCCGAAACCCTAAACCCGAAACCCTAAACCCTATGCTCGACGCTCTAAGCCCCATTCCTTCGTTAAGGGCTTAGAGGGCTTCGGGCTCTAAGTCTGAAACGTAGGCTTCATGCATTGCGAGGTATAAGAGCTTAGGGTATAGGGGTCGAGGCTTTACTATTCAGAAGCGCCTAAACGCTAAACCCTAACTTCTAGAGATTTTCGGGTGTAGGGGTTTCGGGTTTATGAGGTCTAAGATACGCCCCCCAAACCTCATTCAAACTATGCATGTCCTTACGACAAGCTGTGGCCCTCTACTACAGAACCATTTTGGAGTCATTATCAAAGCCTTGTAGAGATATTTTTTGAAGGAGCCCTGTTGGAATGATGAGGGCCTGTATCTGAGTTATTCCAGTACCCCCATTGTCAAGCCCGTGCAAGGGCCAAATTCTATTTTCTAGCAGCCGAAACCCTGAACACTAAAGCTTCCTAAACCCTTGATTATCTTGGGCCTTCTAACCCAAGACAAGAGTTAGAGACTGTAGCATAATCTACTGTAGACTCTACTGTATCTGTAGAGAGGGATCTGGCCAACAGGGTTTTCAATATTGCTTGCTGAGTGCCTTGGCTTTGTAGGGCTTCGTGGGGTGGTATAAGTTTGTTGCGGTTTAGAGGTTGCTGGAAGGGTTGAGTATAGCGGTCTGAAGACATGTCAATACCCCCGTAGCAGGCCCTAGCAGTCCTACATACTTCTAGGAAGAGTTAGACATGATCATATCTTAGAGTCGGTAGATATTGGCCCCGACAGTAGGGCTTGTAGGCCTGGAAGTCTACTCCGAGGATCATGGGACTTAGTAGGTATGATTCTAGATACCGGAGTTGGGGATACAAGTAGCTATAAACATATAGTTACCCTAATAGTAAGCCTGGTCACTAAGTCCCATGATCCTTTCAGTAGTGTGTTCGGGAGATCGACACGCTGCGATTTTTTGTCATGCTCGCGGCTTAGCGTTCAAGGATGGATGCGCCTAAACCCTAAACCCTAAACCCTAAACCCTAAACCCTAAACCCTAAACCCTAACTTGGATGGACATATGCCATCAGAACCCCAACCTTGCCAATAGCAACCTGAAATCTTGGAACCTAGTAAGGTTTAGGGTTTAGGGTTTAGGGTTTAGCCCCATCTACATGTGGGCAGTTCTCTGAAAAAAGGGTGCCTTTTAGATTCCGGGGAGATCTCTGGTCCCTTTCGATTTGGATCCTAGACGGGCCCTAATTTTCGGAAACGATGTTATATTGCAATTGTCAGGACGCAAGTATAGCGAGCGACCAAGGTTGAATTTTGAATTTCAGTTTGCAGGCTGCACGGCTGAGGCACTAGTAGTGGCACCTTTGTCGCACTGAGCCATATACTCCGTGTCCTATTGATAGGGCAAGTTTAGGATTTAGGAACGAGGGGAATCCCTACCTACACGGTGTTTGAAAACTCCGCCAGCACCTCCAAGTACACCTGGGACTGTTACTTCGATGCTGCTGCATTCCCCAGACAACAACGTGTGCCTCAAGCACCTTCACAGAAAGGCCCGGAGGTCGGTTTCTGGCCTTCTTTGATGCTAGTCTGTGGATGGCCCAGCACAGCGCTGCAACCAAAAAGGAGAGGCCCCAGGAAATCTCCCTAAGGGAGCGGTTTAAGGCTTAGGGGTTTAAGGTTTAGGGTTTAGGGGTTTAGGGGTTTAGGGTTTAGGGTTTAGGCTTCCCTCGCGGCCAGAGCTTCGAGTAGATTCTGCTTCTGCGCAACTTCGACGCCAGGTAGGTGCCCACTGCAGTGACGTAGTGGCTCTCCGACTGCCCCCTAGATTAGTACATGATGCACAATTGAATGTGAATCAAGAGGCCAATAATGACCGGCCAGGTGCAAGAACACCTAGGCAGCCCGTGCAGAAAGGAACTAATGCATGCTTAGGCCAAGGCCAACACAGATTCAGAGTTTAGGATTAAGAGTTTAGGATTTAGGATTTAGTTTAAGGTTCCTTGATCTAGTCATCGTCAGCAGATCACCCCCGAACCCCAAAACCCTACGCCGTAAACCCGGAACCCTTAACCTTAAACCCTAAACCAAAAGCCCCAAGCCCTACACCCTAAACCCTAAACCCTAAACCCTAAACCCTAAACCCTAAACCCAGTCCCGTTCTCTAAGACTTTCAAGCCGAAAGCCTTAGCCCACACACTCAACCTCAAGCCGGAAGTCCTAAAGTCTTAAAGCCTGTATTTTTGAAAGTAATAATGACACTACTACTACTACTACTACTACTACTACTACTACTACTACTACTACTGAAAATAATCACAATCATAATCATAGTACTCATAATCGTCTTTGAAAGACCTTCCAAGTTAGACAACCCAACCCTAAACCCTAAAC